GCGCGCGGGACCGACACACTTCTTAGGCTCCCAGCTCAGAGTCTCCATGCAGCAACTGTACTCAGCAACCGCGGCGTATCTGGTCAGCGACTTCTGGCCCTTGTCTGCTAATACGGCAAGCCAAATTGAGACATTCTGTGCTCTGCTAGCGACTAGTGGTGAGGCAGTGGAATAGTGACTCTTCGTTCAATATTTCGGTTAGCTATGGCAACAACCATGATTCGTACTACTATAAACTTACCGTCTTCTTCCCGGCATGATCAATGCTAGAGGAACGTACTATTCATGCAAGATGAGTCCGTGACCCGAGTCGCAGTACATATACTCTGCAAGTTCAACGAGAGAGAGAGTTGTCGGACAAGGTCGCCGAGGTCGCCACCGCGTTCACGGGCGCGTCCGGCTTGGCCCCATAGGCGCTGTGCATGACGTCACAGACTACAGTTCCGAACTAACCAGGATTAGCGAACATTCAAATGGACTCGGAGTCTCAGCGCCGGCACAAACTGGCTGGTTTGGGGGCTCATGCCTAGGCCTGAGGTTATCATGCTCATCGTTGACTGATTGGACTCCTCCTTCATCTCAAGCGCAACTGGTACATCAAAACTTGAAGTAGCCGAAATTCAAGTACGCCGACAATTCTTAAACTTCTTTACACTCTCCACTCTCCTCCGGTAAGCGCGAGGAGAAGTCCATTGTCCGAGGGTTTAAGCCCATCGATGACCTTGAGTTGTGCAAGAACAGACTGCTCCGGGGTCAGGAGGTTTGTCGGTATCCCGGCGTTCCTGGACTGCTCCTCGAAAGCGACAAAACGAGAGTAGGATCCCGAGTCGCCTGTGGACGCATCAGCCGCACTCTAGCTCACGTAGACAAGCTGAGAACCATCAGTACTGACCATGTTCACCGACGGTTCCGGACGTATCGACCAGACCCGGGAGGAGAGACACGACGACGAAGCCTTCGTCCTTGAGCTGCACCGCCCACTTGGACGTTGCGACAACTGCGGCGGCCTTAGTGATCCCATATGCGGTGGTGTCTGCCATGCCTAAGAGGTTCACGAACTTGTGGTCCGCCCCCGCACTGCTTATGACGACAATCTTCTTAGGGCTTGCAGAGGATGCGCGCAGAAGTGGTAGAAAGGCGGAGATGCCGTGAATTACACCCAGGGTGTTGACCTTGTACTGGGTTTAAAACCGGAGAACAGGTATCAACAAGGCTCCAAGTAGCCCCTGACAGTTGACGGTGAAGATTTCAAGATACACACGGCAGTGATGAACTCGGCATCAAGCTCCTCCATATCGGCGCTACCGGTACGTAAGATATTGAATCATGAAGATATCAGACTACGTTTCTTCCGGGCAGAAGGAAATTCACGCACTAATCGCCGTACCCTTTGTAGGTCGCCTTATAGTCCATCAGCGCCGCGTTATGTATGAGACAATCGAGGGTTCCACTGGTAATTTCCGATACTTGCTTTGCAGCATGCTAGTGAAGAATGGAGGAAGAAGCGTTGTCAACGAGCGAGACGACAGGCCAGTGCTAGTAGGTCCACTCTGAAGAAGACAATGAAGACAAACCTTGAGCGATCCATAGTCTGAGACATCAGCTTCTACGACATGGACATTGTTCGAGTATTGCACAGCTGAGGCAAGATGTGCAGAAGTGCGCGTATTCCGCACGACTGCGAATACGGTCGTGTTTGGCCTGTTCGCCTGTTCAAGTTGTGCGAGATCGAATCAACTCGAGCTTTTCACGAGGTTGCTAAAAGACAACTCACCAGCTGACGGACAAACTCGAGGCCAATGCCTCTAGATGCACCGATCACAGCGTACGAAGTCATGCTTGCAGCGAGGGTGATGGAAGTCGAGACTTGACCCTATTGTCCATAGAGCTCAGTTGACTCACCTTTATACTACCTCAGCCATGAGTCCGGACGGATCCAAGGTTCGATGTACGTGTCGGTATGGCACGGAAGCGTCCATAGACGTCTAGCACGCCCCCCTATGGTAATCATGGGATGTGGTTTGGCCATGAGAAGACCTCATGGCATGGAAACTTGCAACATCTGTACCATCCGAGCTCGTTCATGATGGTGTTGTGCCCTTATGAAAAGGCTTGGCTTAAAGATGCTGGACCCCGGTCTGCTGCCAACCCCTCCGAAGCCATGCATCACGATGCCTTGGACATGTCAGACCAAATCCGTTTGGTACTATGTGTAATGCTGAGGAATTGCAATGCGGGATTTGGACGGCGGCACTCTGCTTCTCTCAGGCACCTGTCAGTGTCTTTCGGTAGCCAGTCTCAAAATGCAGGAGAGTTACTGAAACTGGAGGGAGTTGACTCGACTCACTTAACTTACGAGTCGGACTTGCTATGCAATGAGGAAGAGTACCTACATCCAGCGGCAGTGCCCCTTCCATAATCTCCGCTTTGCGAGTTACTACTCCGAGTGATAGTTTATGCTCCGACTGAGATCTAGGTTCGGAGCAAGCCGCCCTCTCCGCTAGATTTTTGTGGTCCGCACAGCCTTCGGAGGTGCGCTGCGAAGCAAGCGCCGGACCAAACTGTGCTGCAAACTATAGGCAGTAAAATCACCGGCATGTTTTATTCTATTCATCTATGTAGTTCCTCCCGACTCGAACTCTCCAGCTGCCCAACTAGAACTTTTCTTAACTAATTGAAATTACTTACAGCCCAATGCTTTCCCAGGCCTAACTCTCCCCGCTGCGATGATCGGACCTGCCAGATGAGAGTTTGACATCTGAGTTTGCGATAACAAGTCCCGCGATCCCCCACTTCTTCTGCTTTATCACCACAATATGTCGTCGGATGCTAGCTCGGATAATGCTCAATCAATTGAGCTATTTCAATCTACGTGAGTGATCCCTGTTGCTCATGTCGTCGTTCCCTTTATCTCATCATCCAACGTAGTTTTGTAGCCAATCTCTGTGGGATTTCCACAGTCAGTGAGTGCCACCAATGCCGCCTGATAATTTGTCCATACCTGTCCTATCACTTTCTTGACAGCGTTGCTGTGGTACGAATATGCGATCACCCTCAGACGAGAGGTCTATCTGTTCTGGAGTCATCGGTTTACTGGAGCAACCATTCTCTTCCTGCTGAACAGGTACCTGAGCCTTATAAATATCAGCATCGAGGCAATTTCCCTCGGGCATATCTCTGATAAGGTGGATGAGTTTTAGTGCGGCAGGTTACTAGTAACTCATCGCTCATCGACGCTGCTTAGGGGTACATGATTCTGTATCGTGGGCAGGGACGTGATGTTCAACTGGGAGCTTCTCTAGGTGCCCCGTATATGTGAACACTAGTCAAGGAATTGGCCTCCTTCCGTACATAACCTGGGGAGGTGAGTTTTTGTGTATCCTCGGTGGCATATCTACCACCTTAGGATGAGGGTAGCCTTTTCTGCATTGAGAGTGTTCGCTCTCACTCAGAGGCGATGGCCCCTTGCTCTCATCGTCCTCCTTCTTTCCTTAGTTCCTGTTGGTCTCAACTACGTGAGTCGTTGCCAAGCATGGTGTCTTCGCTGGCTGACCCACTCCTAAGTCCCAGTATCACTGGCTCAGAGCCGTGAACGATCCCATATTAGGTTGTCAGGGCTCTCTCGAATCCTTACCCGCTGCACTTGCGAAAAAGTGAGTCGACTGCAAACATGCCTGGGAGTCACATATACTGACACCGATATTGTTCTCCTCATTCACATTCAGCTGTACGGTTGTGTCAAGCAGCATGCATCGCGAGTCTGCCACTGATGACTTCCACAGTAATCATCTTGTCGCGCGGCTCGCTGATTTTATCAGATGCAATTGTGCTGGGTGTGACCTGGTACTCGACATACATCACTGTCAATATCCAACGGGAACTCAACACTACATGTTCTTTTGCGGCAATTCTACTGCGAGATGGTAACTTACCTGACCTCTTGAAACTGCGGGTGATGCGCTGATCCACTCCTTCAGGAACTGTCTATTTCTTGTACGGGTCTTCAACACTTATCGGCCGTGTACGCACGTTGATCGGCCGGATACAGCATTCTACTCCTTTTGAACGTGCTTCATCTGTTGTTCACCTTGCTCTCAGTGGGTACTGTGTGCACACAAATTTTGGGTCCCCGGAGCGAACTAATACCTTGCGTCGTCCACCCGAAAATCTAAAAGACAGTGGTGGCAGACTCTTCTATCAGCTTCATGACGCTGTTCACCGAACCGTACGTTGCCTATCTGCGCTCGTTCTCGTCGTGCCAGTGTTGAGAATTTTCAGGATTACCTCCGTCCTAGTGTCGAGGTTCCTCCTTGACCTACAGGAAGTGAACAAACTAGTCACTAGTCACGAGCGGCGAATCGACCGATAGCGACTCCGTCGCCCAGTCGGGGACACTCTCATTCGCACGAGAGACCGGATCGTTGGGATCCTCTATTATTCTGCCCACCGATATCGCGTCGCATACCTATGCCGACGTGGACTCCATGCATGAGATGGACATCCTGCCAACACTCACTCCATATGATGATCGGGCCTGCGGAGATGGAAGTATGAGAGAGATCGTCGTTGAATAGCGAAGTGCAAAAGTCAGTTCTTCTTTTTTTAATTGGCCGCCAAGCTCAAGAAACTGATTGTAATCTCGTGCAAGTGTCGATCTCTGACCGGGACGCATGCTCTGAAGCCCATGCTGAGCGAGTTGGGGGATCCTGGAATGGTGCGACAGGAGTGTGAGAATTACACGATGATCATGATTTTGTCCTTGAGATGGTCACTACCTGGAAACGACGGACACTTCAATCTCGTTTAACGTTACTGGCCCGCCTGATATTCTTGCAGCATGGCTGGAATGCGTCTGCTCTCACAAAGTTCCACAAGGTAGAGATCACAACAGTAGTTGGCGAGACCAAAAGCAATGGAAATGAAGATTCTCAGCTTTTGGAGTAAGGAAGGAAAGTCGAAATGGGGAGGAAATTTCGTCATGTAGTATTGAGCAAAATGAATGACAAGAGTGGGATTTGAACCCACGCCTGGATACCCAGATGCGAAACCCGCAAAGCAGGCAAGCTTTCGCTTGAGTTACACGCCTTAGACCGCTCGGCCATCCTGCCAACAAGACTAACCAGCATCTAGATATTCCGATACACAATGCCCCTCCTTTCGCGTGGAACCCACGGTTCATCTACCATTTATCATACTTCCAACAACAGGCTTCAAATACAAAACTTGCATCGGTTCATCAATAAAGAAAGGATACATAGCCGCATGCGCGAGCAGTGCGAATGGGCGGAGGGAGGGGGGGGTGAGATTCTCCCCTGAGTAGCTCTACACAACGGGTGACTCACTGTTTCCATATCCTACACGACAATACTCCCCCTACTCGGATGTCAGGGTGAGTGCTTAGTGCTTCCGTCGCCGCTCTCCAGATCCGGATCCCTCTTGACACGAATGACACCCTCAGTTCCATCATCAAACCCCTCCAGGCTGGAACGGTCGCGTGTCTTCGACACGGAGACGTTGATGGCAAGGGGGCGCATAGGATATTGCTGGAATTGCGCAGGGTGGTGGACCGGCGCGCCGCTGATATGTGAATCCGCACCGACTGGAGCTCCGCGCGACGATTCGCTGGTGGTCTCGTTCAGTCCTACGCGTATGATGATCAAGGTGAAGACGATTCCCTGCAATAAATTGACTTGAAATGTAAGCGAGATCATTATTTTTAAGAGGACTTACGATGAGAGGCTGCAGCGAATCAAGACAGACATACTGACCATTCGAGCCGGCGAGGTAGGTGGCGAGCAACGAGATGAGCGCGGCAGAGTAGATGGCTGCAGACTGGACGATGGTCTCGACCACACCCCAGTGCGTCAGGGCTGACGCATATCCAGCGCGGTACTTCCTGACCCTGTGATTGGACCACACAATACGTCCAGTGATGAGCACTGACTGATGTGAGCAAGGGACAGTATGAGACCACTAGAGACAACTCACTTGTGGCCAAAACGTTAGTGGTAAGGGAGAGGGAGAAGAAGGACGTGATCCAAGGCACAAGCTTGCTCTCAAAGATAGCGCCAGTGCCGGTAACCTGTGTCAACTGATAGCATATGCCATATCCAGCGACTGTTAAGTGCGACAGAATCAAGAGGTTGACTACGCATCAAAGAGAGGTTCACGACGTACCTCCAGTGGCAATCAACAGCAGGATTGGCAAAACCACAATGAATGACATGCGATTCCATACGACATACATGCGATACGTCTAAAAGATGGACACGACGGTGTGAGCACGACTGTGCTCGGGCATATGAAGGAAGGGAGGTTTGACATACCACGAAGCTGTCTCCTACAAGTGTTTGCGTCGCATAGATTACAGACTTGCCAACGTGGGTCGGATTGCTTAATTGGTTGTAGAAGTCGAGGGTGCCAGTGGGAGTGCCACCATGGGTGATGAAGCCGGCTATGGCTCGCTGTACATCAAAGCAGAGGTGCTATAGCAATGAAGCATGAGACTATCCACCCGTCGGGCACGACGCACTCATCCACTCACCGCGATTGCGAGTACAAACATAGCGGTCCCCGTTGCCAGCATCCACTTGTGTAGCTTTGTTCTCCCATGGTGCCTCTCCCTGTACATTAGGATCCATATCGAGATGAAGTAGAGAACGGCAAAGGCGCCAAATAGGAGAGACTCGAGAAACAGAGCAATGAGCTGCAGCGGTGTGTTAGCGTTTGCGCCCTCGTCATCACAGATCACTCCCAAAAGGTACCTCAGCTCGCGGTAGTGGAAAGGAGTCTGCCGCTGCCATGGTGGTGGACAGGAAACTCAGCAGGGGCGTAAAGAGGGTCCTGACATGGGGCTTGGAACCGCACCACGGTGCTATTAAGGTCACTATGCGAAGAAGCACATGTAGACGCTCACCGGTCGTCCGGAAGTCAGAAGCAATGCTCAGCGCGAACACTTGGTGTTTCACGGATACATTTGCGGCGCCGCTCCTGATGGAAGTGCCCCCTACGTGAGTCCGTGATCCTTCGTATTCGGTCATGCCATCAAAATCCTCACGGCTGTGCACAGTGGGAGAGACGTTGAGTGTAGGTTTGCCACTGCCCTTTTTGAAAATTGACATGTGAGTCCGCCGAGTCTGTGATAGCAACATCTTCCCACAGTTTCTGCAGTTGATCTCACAGCGAGCTACAGATGATTCATCGCAGCATACCCGTAGACCAAGATATTTTGAATCTTGGTAGTGCGGTGCAAGACCAGAGCTCATGATTCCTGATCAATAGGCCTCACTCCTTATGGACAGTATATCGTTACGTACATTTCAGTTGCTTTCACAAAGCGCCGATAGTTGTCAGGATCAAAATAGCGGAAGCCTCAGCACTGGCAGACGTTTCGACGTCGCGGCTAACATGTGAGAGTAAAGTTTGTAGAATTTCCTGCCCGAGGTATGAACCACAATCAGTGTTTGCACTGGAAGTTCCCTAGATAGACAGACGAGTCCGTCACTGTCTATACAAGACATACTCAGAGAAGCAACTCACGGGCGAGTGCAGAGGGAGCGCGGATGCAATGAATCCCCTGACGCCAGAAGCTTATGATCTGAAGTCGGCGCTCCGGCGAGTGCGCATGCGCATGCCCAGTGACATCTCCGCGCGAGCAAATCGTGATCTGGTCCGACAGGACGCCATCTTGATTTTCTATCTATCATTCACTACAGTGTCGAGAAATTGAAAGAGAGGCAGACAAGAGCCTTCAGCGATCCACGTACCGCGTCAAGACTGCCTAGTTATCGTGACTGGACCCTGTCAGCAAACCCGCACAGTGTACCCTGACTCGAATGCTCTTTGGGAATGGAAGCTCTCCCCATGTGAATGTCTGGTCTCCACAACTACATGGCGTCATCATGCGAGTTCGCACCGGCAATAAGCCTTTTTGGTTCACATCTAAGCGAGATTGCGGAATCAATGGGCAGCTTCAACGTAACGCTACTCGCCGCTCAAGCAGAACATCACTGTGCATGACAGCGCCGAACCATTTGCATCTGATGTACGTCCCTCAGGGCAGTTCGAAGCAAAGTCCAGACAACAAATGCACCTACGGGGGTTTCGGGCAGCAGGCTGAGTGCGTACACGGCACATGGCGTCAGCGCAACTGCGTGCTCGGCCTCCGCTTACCCACCTGCAGCGCAAGGTTCAAGACTAGACGAGTCGAGCTCATGCCCATAAAGCTATACTTAGACTCACTTGGTGACCACCGGTGCTCGGGGACTGCAGCACGGCTGTAGAGCGACTGCGATGCGATCAGCCAGTCTCGAAGCAGAGAGTGGCAGGGTCTTCGCAACCTTGTCCTGGTGATTCGCGAAGGAGAAGCCGGAGGACAATCGTGCGAAGATGCTGGCCTGACGACTTTCCAGAAGACGAGCGTCGAGCGACACGCTGGGTGGACTGGGAAAACGCGTCCGCAAGATTCAGCAACCGGTTCACGCGAGTTGACAATTCACCCCCAGATATCGGCTGCCGCACGACATTGACCACCGGTTCGGTTGTACACAGAACCTGAGGCCTGAGTTCCGGGGTGCGTCCAAGTTAGATGTTGAGCGCTGAACGAGGTGATCTAGTCACCGCGAGGGCATGGTGGCGCAATTCGTTATCAGTGTCAGCCTCGCATCATAGCAAGGACGTGCACGACTGAACTTTCATCTACACCAGGAGACGAAGAACGATGTATGTTCATTGCCAAGCTCCGCCTACGACCGCCGCATCCTCCTACTCGGCGCCGCTCATCTCAGAGCTGCCATTGTCAGTAAGATATGCTTCGCCGATTGCGACTGACCATACGACATGATGCCGGCACTGTCGCTGTGTGCGCGTGCAACATGTCATGGTCCTGTCGTTTGAGAGTCGGTGCAAGCGCCTCCGTGTACCGGCCGGACTGTTTAGAAGCTCCGCATCGCCAAAAACCGCCGCAATACAGTGCCGCTTCGTCAAGAGGGCCCGAGGGGCAGGGACCTGGGCGTCTGTACGACTGTCGGCGTTGAGCGCTTGATCGATCCTACTGACTTGCGTATACCAGCAGTTGACAACGTATCGAGAACAGGTCTGTGCATGTACCCAGTTCGCAAATGCAATCCAAGAAGCAGTACTACGGAAGAGACATGTCATGAGTACAAGTACTCACGAGACGTTGCCACGATTTTATCCACATTGCATATCTAGGTCTCTTGTCCACTCATGACATTGTCACCTCCTACGTTCATGGCGACGATGGGGCCCAGAGACCGCCATCGCATTGGAGAGGTTACTTGTTGCGCGTTCTCGTCATGCTGCTTGTGCAAAGTCGTGCGCAACGGCTCCCTTCAAACCAACCCCGGAAGTCATCATCCGGTCACTGCATGTAGGCCGGAGGCGAGCGCGTGGGGCGAGTATCCTCGAATATCGCGTTCGGTTACCAAGCCATGCTGGACGCCGTCACAGTGGATGGCAGAGGTCGGCGTTCGTCCATACGAAAGTGCGCAGTACGGATATATATAGTTCAGTGGCAGCTGCAGGTAACATCTGTCATGGACCACGCACCATCATAGTATCTGAAACAACGCAGACGTTGAACATCTGTTTTGCCTTTTAACCTGTCGACCTGCATGATCACGGTTGCTACAACCCGCAACCTCTGAGAACGGAAATTGCCTGCACCCGCTAGGCTCACCCAGGTTTGTAGTCGAGCCGCCGAACATGCCTAGACATCGGACGATGCGGGCTGGACAGCTCTGAGTGTACAGGATGCGGGATATGTCAGCCCGGCACTCAATGACCCACGAGGTTCACACGTCGAGCGATGAGTTAACCGCACAAGGTGCGATAATACCAACTCTATGAAACACTCAATGTGTAGGTGAGCTATGGAGACAACACGCCTTTCTCTAGACGTCCGTACTTGATCAACGATTAGCAGAAACAAGGGTTTGAGGGCGGTACTCACACTATAAGGCTGATGCGCCGCCTGGCCCTCGACTTCCACTCTGACTAGAGAAGGCAAGCTCTCGAAAATGAGCCGCTGCTGCTTGACTTCCGAGTCCTCCTTGATCGCCAACTTGCAGCATTTGCACACGGAGCG